ACAGGAACTCCTGACTTCTGACACTATATTGTCAAAAATGTTTGCGGAGTCGTCTCAACCCTTTAACAACTTCCTCAGATACTGAAAGTGTTCCAGGAGATTTTCTTTTGTTGACAATAGCAGTTCTAATAAATCTGTTGATTACATCTCTAATGTGAGCCTTTAACGATGTTTCTTCAATTTTCAAATCAGGGTATTGGTGACATATTCTTGCTTACAAGTGATTACAGAATACATCCATCCTCCGCAATAATACATACATAAAAATGAAAGTGTCTTGTTCAACAGAATAAACCATGTTTGCTTCCTAGCACAGAAACAAAATTTTCGTACACAAGCACCAAGAGTTTTGAAAACGACTGTTTCGTTGTTTTGAGCTTCAATCAACCAGGATTACTGTAATTCACCCTTGAAATAGTTAGACCAATCATGATACAACAAGACATGGTATGATATTGCGCATTTTGTGCGACGTCATGTGGATGTCGTGACCGCCAATTTTAAATTCTGGCTTGTTACATGTTCGTTTTATCACATCCATGAACGATACCAAATTTTGAACGCACGTTATTAGCATCTGATTTCAACTCAGAGCGTTTCAAGAACGATTTCAAGGCAATATTACCTCACATGGTTGGCGCACAAAGCAGACGAAAATTCAGCCACCGGAGTAGCATACAATGTCTTCTTGTACCATGAGATAAAATAAAATAAAAGCGATAACTTTAAATGACAGTTTACGAATGACATGAATGACAAGGGAGGCATAATTTCAGCGAAGTGGGATTTTTAAAATAGCCAACTACGCCCACAGAATCACTTGTATAAACCCTGTACAGTCGCAGAGTGTGAATTCCGTCCACACAATTCACGCGAATTCACAAAAATTCACTGTAGTCGGTGCTTTATTGTCAGATGAATTATCATGATGACTGACGTAAGTACTGTCAAATTTAATTTAGCTCCGAACCTACCATCGATTAGTTATTTTAATGAAGGTAAAATTATATCCCTTTTCCAAGACGAGATGTAGCTACACTTTTGGGCTTATCGCGGACTAGTGTTAGTTATCGTATGAAAAAATGGAGAAAAGGTGAGGAACTTAATCCCCCTCCAGGTATGTATCGGCACGTCGTATCACCACGGTTGGTAAAAATCATGTGGTCCTTGAAGCTGTGGAAGACAGTTTACAACCGCAGTTGAAGCTGCAGCGACTATTAATTTTCCCAGACCATCAGCAAGAACTGTCAGATGACGCATTAGGGAACGAGGACTTGGAAACCATAGAGCATAGAGATTGGGTTTGTTTTACAACGTCTCATGTAGGCTAATGGGTTTTGGAGTTATTTTCTCAGACGACAAAATCTTCCAATCTTGTCAAAATGGCAAGTTAAAAGTACCCAGGCCTCGAAACATACAATGTAATCTTCAAACATGTCAACAAAGCTAAACATCTGTCAATATTTGCCAGAAGAATAGAATATTTTGACTGTTGTATTCTGAACACCTAAATTTGCTGCATGTAATAATAATAAAGTTTGGTCTTGGATTGATTTCTAATCTGAGAAGCAGGTATGATAGCAGGCTTAATTATGCAGATAAGAATTAGCTTGGTTGGAGTGCATGTTTGTTAGAAGGAGTTATTTAAAGCGAAAATTTGCAGAGTTTTTATAGAAAATTCCGACATGGTACCTGTTTTAGCTTACTTTTCTACTTCTCAGAAGTGCTATGAAAGACAAATGTAAATTAGTTTGCCTCTTTATGTCAGAATGACAAAAAAAAGGTTGGAAAGATCTAAGAAGAAATTGGGTGGACGAAATTCACTATAGTCGGTACTTTATTGTCATATAGTACCTTCTAGAATAAGACTGATTTTGGCAAATGAGCCCCGCCCCCCACCCACCCTGTCTTTTCTTAGAGGGTATGGCATTTGCCAAAATTGATTTTATTTTAGCCGGTACTAACCCCGCCCATCAACCCTCTCTTTTCTTAGAGGATATGTCATTTGCCAAAATCAGTCTTATCCTAGAAGATACTAGCCCCGCCCACCCACCCTCTTATTTCTTAGTAGGTATCTCATCTGCCAAAATCAGTCTTATCTTAGCAGCCACTCGCTCCACCCACCAACCTACCCTCTCTTTTCTTAGAGGATATATCATTTGCCAAAATCAGTGTTATCTTAGCAGCTACAGTACGCTTTGAACGAAAATAGAGATATTAAATTGTGTTGCAACTTGCAAATAAAATTGTCATGTGATGGAAAAGAAAAAAAAATTAAAATTTAGACAAGAAAAGGTGAAAATAGTCAAGCCACACGTTCTAACTAATGACAATCGAAAGAGTAAAAGTTTAATATGTTAAATAATATTTTTGATATTTATTGATATTTTTTTGCGTAAAAAACCAAGATGAAAACGTAAAGCATTATTATAACTTCTAGGTTAGTTCATTATCAATTGATAGCAATATTACTGAAATAATCATTAAACATATGAAAAGTAATCTTACACATTACATAGTTTAAAGCAAATTGTAACTGTGAAATTGCTCCAAAACAATGTGATAGGTTGAATTATTATTTTTTTCTAACACTGACATTTTAAATCGTTTTCCTAACGGCGTGCGGAAAGTGACTAGTTTCCGCACGCTAACCCGTGCGGAAAGTGATACTTTTCCGCACTAGTGCGGGAAGTAAAATGTAAGTACGTTTCAAAGATTTATTGATTAATGATTACAACTATTTATATTAAATGTAAAAGAACAATTTATATAGTTATTTTTCTCATTGCTTTCATTTCGATCTGTCTCTTCAGTGGTTTTCATCTCAAATACCTTGCTAACATTTGCTGCCTCCTTTGTTCAGATCCAACTTCAGCTTCGTTTTATCGGTGATAGTACAACTGTTACGCCAATACAGCTACTTCTGAAACTTTCTTTACTTGCTTTTCATTGCACCATGCCCAAAATTCCTTATAAGCCTTCTCATATCGGTCCTTACATTTTGTCGGTATTAGGTCTTGAACTGCATTCTCTGCTTCAGCAACTATATCCGAAGGAATAGAATCGCTAGAGGAATCTTTGTTTTCCATCTTCAATTGGACACACAGAACACAACACGATTAGGTATTATTGACAAATATTTTGCGAAAAACTTCTTTGTGTTTAAACAATTGCATTCGCAATACCTTGACTACTCAACGATATGATTTTCGAATGTGCTGCGATTTAAAATTTGACGAAAAACTTAATTGCTGAAAGATTTAACAGACGCTGTTAGGAAAAACATTGTTCCTAACGCGCGTGGGAAGTGCGATTCCGAAACTCGTGCAGGTACCGAAACTCGCTACGCTCGTTTCAGTAACACCTGCACTCGTTTCGGAATCGCTGACTTCCCACACTTGTTAGGAAAATAACTATTCTAAGATTCATTTAAGCTCGACCACAAAGGTATCTATAAATCCACTGTTCTTTATAAAGTACGTCGTCAATGGTAACGTCCTTTATACTATTTAAAGTACGCTGCTTCATTTTTCGTAACATTTATTTATTGAATACAAAACTACAATTATTAAAATATAAATTTCCATTACTCTTGAAGGGTAAATTCTTGTTGTTGATGTTGGTTATCTCTGCTACTTTCGAAGGCGGAATCCAGCTTTGTACATCTAATCTGGTTGCTGACCTCTACATTGGAATCGTCGCTAAACTATTTAAAAAATTTAAAAATGCTAAATGTATAGGTGATATATGATAGAAGAGCATAAACCCAGCCTAAAACTGGTACTTACGCTTGCATCAAGGAAAGTCCGAATAACGTCTTCCGTCACTTCTTTTACACCTTTTTCTGACGTCCACTGATTAAAAGCCACGTACACCTTCTCATAAGCGTTTTTTGATTTTGCGGGTAATAATTTAGTGCGTAATTCATTGGCTTTTTCTAATATTCCGATTGAAATGCGTTCACACATTTTAACGAACAAAATTTTTTTCAAAATTTGTTGATACTATTACCATGACTACTACCCACGGCAGCCTCAAGAAACATTTTGCCTCACTAAAAATCTCCCGATAAAATATTAATAACAGACGATTTCGGATCAAATAAGCTTCAGTGTTAGAAAAAATATTGAAGATAACACGGTGTTTTATAGTTGAAAGGACTCGGTCCCATTAAAACCTCGCTCCCTTCGGTCGCTCGGATTTAAACTGGGACCGCGTCCTTTAAAGCACCTATAAAACACCTAGTTATCTTAATAGCTATAAAACGTTATTAACATTTTAAAATAAGATTTTAAATAAAAACAATTCAGACTTTATACTTAAATGATGTAAGATAGAAATGTCAATGGCATTAATATTATATTTTTATTTGTATTGGTAAAAACATTGTCAATACAATCTTATCGCTTGTTGGAAAATGCATTACTGGATATAAATCAAAACTGTTCATAACATCAAATAATTATTATTTATCTTCTATTGAAGTATTAAGTATTAGGAAACTTACATTAAAATCGGCTCTTATTGTGTTTTAGAGTATCGAGGCTATTTAGCAGTTTATCAATGGCTATTACAATATGTGGATGTCACTGGTCGCTAGTCTGTACACATAGTGAGAATAATTTTACACACTATCATTTAAGTAATACCTGATAGCTTTTAATGATTTGACAATCGATGACATCATTTGAACTGGATTTACGATATTACACTGTCTCAGCAGTTGTTTCATAGGTATGACGTCAAATATATTAATCAGTTAAGCACGTGGTCAGAACTTAAGCTTGTTTTCTACACGAATGAATAAAATCTGCAACATATAGTATATTTAATAACTCTTTACTACTTACGTTCTGAGGTATTCATAAATCATACCCTGTAGGAAACTAACGAGTTTTAAAGTTTCACCATGCTTGTTGTTTTTATTTACTTTAGTGAAATTTCATTCGAATAATAAAGTAGTGTATCAAAATAAGATAACATCGTAACTTCTTTTGCAGCCAATGGGAATGTACCCTCACAAATACGAATGGGCTTCTGGAAATCAAGAGAATGGTGACTGTTCCATATGGATACGCGCAGCTCAGTTAGAATTTGACGATGGCAACTGGGAATGTCAAGTAACTGCAAGCGATTTTCATACGCAAGATGCACTTACCAGTCAACCCGTACATCTCGTCGTTCGAGGTAAGTTTTTTATGTTCGTGAGGGTCTGAGTTTGCATAAACATTATTCGTAACGAATTTAAAGCAGTGTTTCTCGTCCGAAACTATGGTCTTTGTGAAGTTGACATAAAAGCTTTTAATGAGCGTTTCCTCAGCGGTAAAATAAAAAGTAACACTTTGAAAGAAAGGAAAAGAAAGCTCCGCGAACTCAGAACAGAAAGCTAATCAAGAGACGAGCTTTTCATTTTTATTTCTTCTACTAAAGTAGACGAATAAATGTCTAGGACGATAGAATGAATTTCGTCTCTATAACGTCCTATATGAAACATATTTGGAAATAGTAAATAGAAAACTTCTTGACTGAAAAAGTTTGTCGAATCTGAAGAAACAGTTCAAGTGGAAATTCCTAAATAACAAAGAACAGTGAATATGTGACCGGTGCTTTGCTTGAACATCTATTGAATTTATTGTTTTGTATACACGATTTAAGCCATTCTGAGGTCTGGCGTCTCCGCTTCAAAGTTGAAAGTTTTGAGAAAACCCTATTCTGAGCTTTCACTAGCGGTATTTAATGCTCTAAAGGGAAAACTTAACTTGTAGTTGCACGCTTCGCAGATCCATCATGTGACATTTAACTGTTTGGAAAGACAACTACAGCGCATTATCGATTTTAAGAAGCGGCGAATTTACATTAAATTAATTCGCAAATGAATTTTATGAAGTACGAAAGCAGTATTATTAGGCATAAAATAAATCCTTCCCTTTGGGTGCATTAACACTTTCGCGGCCTTAATAAAATAGGACTTTTCAAAGCATCGAAATAAAAGTTTGAAACGACTATGCAAATACACGCTCCATTTACATAATGTCACGCTTCACTGACGCAAGAAGTTAGAAAAATTGACGATGAGTTCCGAGCATATGTTTCCAGGTATGCACATTCCGTTCGAGAAATCGCTGTTATTTTGTTGTAACGATTGCATTCAAAGAGAAAAATTGCCCGCATACTTGCTCCGACTTCATAAGGTTTCCTCAAAAACGCAATTTTATAGTTATTAAAAAAAAACAGAAACAATATGATATAAGAATGCAATATCCATACCTCACTTTCTGGTATTGTATTGTCGTAGATAAGAAATACTATGAGGAGATAGAACGTCGAAATTGTATTGCAAGGCGCCTGGATTAGCACAAACGAAAGAAAAATCGCGAAAAGAAGCCCAAATCTTCCGAGACATTTATCTACTTCCCACACAATGTACTACATAAATTTATTCCCGAAGGGATTTTCAGACAATAAAAAATGAACTAACCAAAATTTGCTGTTCTAAGTACAAAAGAATGTAAACAGAACAAAGTACGTGTTATATCACAAGTAAAGAAGGTACATGAAATTTGCTGCTTTACAATGTCGTCTCAAGAAAAGCATTTTTAATAGGGACATTTTTGTCCGTTTATTATGCGGCATTCTGTAACAATGTTGAACACAAAGGAAAAATTATAGCATTGTTATGAGTCACTCATAAAATAAGATAATTGTGTAATAAAAGTTATAATTACTTGTTCCAGTTAACAGAGTTTTTAAAACAAGAATGCATACTTAATTACAGTAAATTTGGCGATAATTATATCGGTATACAAAAATAGTTGCAATAATAGTAATACATAATTAAACAGATGCACGAAAACGAAGCAAAACAATTTGCCTTAAATATTTATTTATCAATTAATACAGAGTTGCTGATACGAAGAAGGAAATAAATTAAATCCGCAAATGTCTCGTTGTAAAAAATATAAATATAAAAGTACAACAAAATATTTATATTTATTAAATTGAAATTTAATAAACAGTTGCCAGTGTTACTTTGGATCAATTTTTATTATTCATGTCACTGGAAACTAATTTTAGCATACCTTCACAATTGAGTGCTTGTGTTTAAATAAACAAGTTTAGAGCGTTGTCAGTATTTATTAATTAAAACATTAATTATTGGCTTCATACTCGAACAAAAAACAAATTATTTTTCGGTACATATACTCGTACTTGACTCCTCATATCAACATTAAATATTTAAATAAATTGTCACCGAAACTAATATTGAACTTTGTCGATTTATTTTATTGAGTTTGATAATTAAATATTTTTTCCGTCCCTCGGTAAAATCAATACACTCAGTCAAACCAAGTCGATCAGACTATTTGTCATTTGTTTAATAATAAATCTTTAAGACTAGTGAAAATACTACTATGTATTAATATTTTCGCCAATGAAAGCACGTTGTTTGCTAGTAAATAGTAATTTGCAATAGAAAATGTAAATATTTATCAGTACAATAAAAGTAGGATAACTATTAAGAAAGAATTACACGTAAGGGTTTTTAACAGATTAACAGTGCGAAACAGTTGCAACAAAACTTAAAACATTAAATTAAAATTTATTGCCACATTAAACATAGTGCATTTGTAAAATACCAATTGATTTGAAAATAAATTTTACAGCAAGTCATCCAATAAAGTTGCTATAAAGCTATTTAGGCCGAAGTTCCGTGCATGTTAGAGCCTAGGCTTTAATACAGAATTATTTATGAATTTTATGTAAGAATAAACATTTTCATTGTGATACATGAAATGTAAACATTATGATGATACTATCCTATAGTACAATATGTGAATGAAATTAAACTGATAATTTTCGAAATAATAGAAAAATTGAATTTATAGGTAATTATTAAACGACAAAAACAGAAGCATAATATGTAAATGTTTCAGAAGCGATTAATGAGTACTTAATAAAATTTTGTGACACATTCGACAACTTTTTAATAGGAATACATATAATATCAGATTTGATACACGTAATGTAACACTACTAACAGTATAAAGTAAATTGCTTCAGTCATTAATTTTTTGGGATAAATCACTGTGTGTAAACGACTTCCATCTCCAGTCATATTTTTTAACATGTACATATTTAATACATGATGTTTTGATTTCTAAAATCGATAAAGAAATAAATTTCAGCAGGTGATCATCATTTAAACGATACTATTTGAAAAAAGATTTATTTTAATTGAATTACATAAATTATTATTTAGATAAAACATTTATAGTTTTGACTAATTGTTTTCAAGATATTTGAACAAACATGTGAAAAACTGATTATATTCCGCAACTTATTGTTTCACTTTTTTATAAGTATGCAATTTTTAAAGAAGAAGCACATGTCGATGTTTCATTATTTTGCCTAAATATGTACAATATTATTTTCTTGCCGGACTATATCTAAATACGTAATAGACTTTGATAAATTTCTGATTTCTTGTTTTCTCGGTGGCTGTTCGCACATAGAATACGAAAATGAAAATTTCCTGTTTCTACCTATATCTTTAGATGTCCCTCATTAGGAATTTAGTGGACAGATAATTTCCAAGGTTACTAATTTGAGTGACATTTCCTTTAAGCCTATTACATAACTTTAAACACAAACCAAAGTTTGTCCCCCCCCCCCCCCTAAAAGTTATGACTATCACATCATTTAAAACTTTAATGAATCTCATCTTAAGTCTGCAATATCCTACTTTTATTTTCCTGTGATTGTGGTAGACAGTAATACTATTAAAAATTTGCTATTTTTCTCAGAGATTAAGTAAAAATTATTCGTTCCAAAAATCATATTATCTCAGTGTTTTTACTACTCACGGAACTAAAAACTAACTACATATATTAAAGAATTTTACATACTATCAAAAAAATGGTAAAATAGAACATTTACTTCAAACTACTACTTCTGTCTGCCTGTCTGTGTCGATTTTTAGTAGACAGATAATCTCCAAGACCACTGGATCGATTGTTGTCAAATTTTAGATGTATGTTATGAATATCGTATAGTGATAAAACGCTACACCAAAATTTGTGTAATCATAAATTTTATAAAAACTTCTACACTTATGGCTTATGAATCTGCCTTGAGTTTTAATCACTTTATAAAAGTGTATCAACTGTATCATATAGACCTTAATACAAGTCAGTGAATATATCCGCTGAAACTGCATTCGAGTTATTTAATAATAACAACCAATTGCTTCACGTTTTTTACAAAAATTGTCGATTAATTAACGCTATCAAACATGACAATAAAGAGGTTAAGAATACGCGGTTTTCGAACAATTTAGCCAAATTATAATTCACTCTTGAAACTGTTGTAAAAATTATCCAGCTAATACTGCATTTGACTATACCTTTAAAGAAAGAATATAAAAAGATTACTATGTAAAAAGGAGTATATGATTCCTATATATCTTCCAGCAATAATAAAATCCGTATGCAAAGTAATATAGAGCTAGTTAAGTACAAAACACAAAAGCAATCAAAAAAACTCACTCCCCATTTTAATAATTTCTTTGTGAATATTCGTTATAAGCAGAGTTAGGCACAGCCGAAGTGATAGGCAATCAACCAGACAAATATTAAAAACGATAGCGCGACGTCAGGGGATAAATTTGGCTGGCCGACTGTGCAGTCTCAACCTCAGTGGCGTTTGATGCAAATCAGGGTTTATGTAATCAAGATCACGAGAATTGTGATGTTTAACAGTCATTTTTAATTTTTAAAGCATTTTAACATCTAGGAAAACTCGTATAATTGAGAAAAACCGAGAAAAAGTAGTAATTATTATTAAGAATTCTCGAAGTTGTAGGCCACGACTGCAATAGCGCTGGCGATCGTACAGCAATGATCATCACTTTCGCAATGCCGAAGTCTGGTTATAAGTTATTAATGATCTCTTGTAACGGTGTTGATGTTAAAAGTAATACCAATTACTTACGAAAGTTAAAGATTTTTACATCAAACAAATTTCTTAGGCCACCATTACAAATCTAGTCGTTTTACGTCCACAATCACATCCATGAAGTGTCACTTTTGAAATAAAAATTACCAAAATTACTTTTTTCTTCAAATGTCAGAACAACGGATCTTTTTATACCACCATACACATAGTAAAAGATGCATTTCAAAGCCATG